CCCAAAAAGAGAAATGGGACTCAAACGAGTCCAGCCAGGTAGGCATCCAGCCTCTTCTTAAAGACCCCCAGGGTAGGGGCCAGCACCACTTCCCTTGGAAAAAACTTGAGAAACCTTAAACCCTCCCACAACTCCAGAGGGACTTCCAGACAACTTCTGGTCCCAGAAATGCTTAATAGTTATCTGCAAGGACTCCTATGTCTGAGCCCTGCTGCTGGAGCTCACAGTCCTTGCTCTGCTGCTCCTTCTGAGTCTCCAACCTTGCCTCTCCCAGCTGTGGTATCCCACCCTCTATCACTGCTTTTCTGCTTCCTCCCATTCCCTACAGCCTTCTGGAATTGTAGTGCATGTTACAATTCCTTCCTCTAGTCCCCTGGAGGCACCTCTTCCTAGCAAGCCTAAGTTGTAACAAGGCCAGGAGCAAAACCAGGAGCAGATCTGGTCCAAGAGGTGGTGGGAGGCACTGTGACTGTCAAGCGCTCCAGGGTTGGAGCACTCACTCTGCCCTGAGGAAGCAGTAGCATTGAAGATTTCCCTCCAATTGCCTTTATTAAAGATTTAAAATTAAATTTTAAACCTTTAATAAGAGCAATTAGAGGGGAGCCATCCAACTTGTTGGTTGGCTGACAATTTAGAAAATCCCTACTTGCCTCTCCTTAAGAGAGAGAAGCTTGACTCCCAAGCAGGATTCCTTCTCAGTGGAAGTCAAGGCTCATTTGCAGTGGAAGTAAATGTTTATCTAAGGCATAGGAATGACATTGGTGATTAACACAGTAGTAGCTGCTTGTTCAGGATGTTTTTCCTTAAGATTTTTCCATCGGTTAAATTCAGTACAAGTGGTTTTCTGCTATAAAATGTTAGAGTGGTTCAACTGAGAATCAGGGCCTTTGAGCTCCAAATATATAACCGACTCCTATCATCATGGTAAATTATTGTTCTTAGGCATTTGAACATGTGTTTATTTCCAGTTTAAGGGCCTTGTTACACCTTAGGCTGAAAGCCACACAAATTTTAATCAGCTTGGTGTTGTTCAGCTTACTGGAGTAGTTGCACATTAAAGCAAAAAACCTGCAATGACTGCCCTCACTTGCACAGATAGAGGCTTTGGTGAGCAGGGGCAGGACTAGGAGCTGAGGGAAGGACAAACTCACTGTCTATGAGGGCAGAGCAAGACCTCCAGCTCCAGAACACCTGGCTGCCATGGTGCCTCTCACCACTGCTTGGACTGGATTTGTTTCCAGCTCTGCTCCTGCTGGAAGCAGAGCAACCCAGTCCATCTCCCCTTACCAAGAAAGGAATCCATATCAGTGAAGACTAGAGAAGATAACAGCTATAGAGGGGCAACCACCCTCGAATTCCCATGATGTACACACCCAAAGTGTTTCCTTCCTGTTGACCTTTTATGGCTCTTAGATATGCTTCATTCTGTGCAAAGGGTGCACAGGCTTCACAGATTTACAGGAGCTGTGTCAAAGGAGTTTGTTTTCTTTAGCACCAACATTTCATTTGTTAGGAAAACTGGAAGGTGTGTACTGAATGAGGGAGGAGAATCCAGGAAGAGGAGGAGTTTGTTTGTTCAGACAGTTGAAATCTGCCTGGCAGAATGGGTTTTTAACTACGTCTACCAGAGTTCTCATGTGAATGTCAAGTCTGAAACCTAATTTATCACAGGTATAATTTGTATAATTTGAGTACCTCATTTTATCAGTGCCGAGACATTGAACCAATTACAACTTATTTCAACTTCTTGACAAAATTAAATGCCTTGACTTTTTGTCTTAATAGCAGTTATTTTTTCATCTTTACATAATATTGAATTGCAATAGAAGCACTATAACATTGGATGTTAGACTTATCTGTTTTATATAGTATAGTGAGCTAATTCTTTTTAGTTTAAGTTGTATCAATATTCCTTTTCATGTTGCCATCTAGTGGTTACTGAAATCACAGGAAAAAATCTTACAGTAGTTTGTGTTTGTATATGTATTTTATTTAAAGTATAAATACCAGAATTTTCAGACTTTTCTGCACCCAGCAGGTCAGCGTTTTGGCCATAGGGAGCTGCCCTGCATGTCTGGGCTGTTGGCCCCAGGAAACTGCCATGAAATCTTGGGCAATTTTCTCCACCACAAGAATTTTTGGATTTTTTGGCATGTGGCAGGTCAGCATTTTTGGCCCGGGAAGCTGCCCTGTTCATATCTAAGTACAAAGAACAGCAATCAAAGAGAAAATGTGGGAAAAGAGAGAGCAGGCTACTTAAAATTGAGGTTTTATAGAGTCATTACAGTACAAGAGGGTTTTTTTAAACTACTAGTATAACAATGAATTCTGCTCTTGATTTCAGGCATCATGCTTATCATGAAGACAAAGGGAATCCATTAAGACATGAATCAGAGAAAAATATTGAATTTAATAGTTTAAATTTCATAGAACACTTTTTCATTTTATAAATGTAAAAATTAGGTCTCCGTAAAATGTTTATGTACCCCTTGAGAAGAATTTAGGTTCTGCCGGATATGTGGTATAAAAATTCTTAAATGTACTATGTACTGATTAGTGTTAATATCTTTCAGCAACAGTTGTTTCATTACTTACCATATTTATTCAAATATAAGACAACCCCCCAATAATTAGATTCTATATATGGAAAATTTTTAAATTTGCTATAATTTTCCAGGTGTTGAATCTAATTATGGAGGGTTGTATTGAATTCTCCCTCCCACTGCCAAACCAAGGAAAATAGTGGCGGGTGGGGTGTCCCCCTTGCCCTCTGACCTCACCCCACTTTCCCCCCATGCAGCCTTCCTGTCCCCCCTTACTGTCAGTCCATGCCCAGGTCCTGTTCCCACCCTGAGCACAATGTGGAAGGGAAGTGGGACGGGAGTGAGCTTGTGTTTTATATTTGACAGTCAGGGGGGAAGGTGGGAGGACAGAGGGAAGAGCAGAAGCTGCAGAGAATAAGTAGAGGGGGACAGGGACTGCTGTGGGTCTAACTATGGCCTGCACCCAGACTCAATGCCAGAGTCAGAACTGCAGCAGTTGCCTGCCCCCACTTCCCACCTTGTTATTTTGAAATGCAAGGGACAAAAAACCAACTGACTTTATAATAAACATACCCACCCATAGTAACTTGCATATATGCAAATTACTATGGATAAGTTCATCCAGAATTTATGCATTTTGGCGTGTTGAAACTGCTGCAAGTTTCAGTACAGACACTCCATAAACACACTTTGAGCAGCACTTTTGTTCCTACTGATACATTGAACTGATACATTGAATACCATGCATAGTTTGTACTGAGTCAAAAGGCTCATGACTTCACAGATTCATAGACATTAGGACTGGAAGGGACCTTGGAAGATCATCAAGTCCATCCCCCTGCCCCAGGGGCAGGTCAGCAGGGATCATAAGATCCCAGCAGGATAAACATCCAAATGTTTCTTGAAGGTGTTCAAAGTAGGTGCTTGAACCACCTCTGGCGGCAGTCTATTCCAAACCTTGGGGGCTCGGACAGTAAAAAAGTTCTTCCTTATGTCCAGCCTGAAACGGTCATGGAGTAGTTTGTGACTGTTTGACTTTGTCATCCCTTGGGGTACTCTGGTGAACAGATATTCCCCCAGATCCTGGTGGTCACCCCTGATAAACTTATAGGTGGCCACCAGATTGCCCCTGAGCCTGCATGTTTCCAAGTCACAGCACACCATGATGATTGACTTCTGTCAACCACCACCCTCTAGGTCCTACCACAGAGCCAATTCCCCAGCCAGCGGATAGTGGTGAGGCCAAGGCCGCAGTTAGCCAGTTTTGCTAAGAGGTGATCATGGGATACCAGATGGAAGGTTCTTTTAAAGTCAAGATATATGACATCAATCTCTTCCCCCTTGTCCAGGTGATAGTCAACGGCATTTCAAGCCATTGTGACCCCACAGCCCAGCACTCCTCAGTATATGTCTGTAGTCCAGATACCCTTTCTTCCCCTCCCCAAAGGATCCATGTGCTAATTAGACCTCCACTCATGAGTGGAACCAGATGTCCTTGTTGCAAGCCTGGGGACCCTCCAAAAATCTATATGCAGATGAGACTATGGGATGGGGAGGGACAAGGCAGCCCGGAGAGTGAATGCAGCAGCAATGTTTGAAATGGTGTCAAAGAAAGAGAGGAGAGACTGCACCTGGTGGAGGACAATGGATGAGAACAGGGAGAAAGAAGCAGTTCTGTGTAAGTGTTGAGAGCAAATTAAGATGCTCATGGATGGCTCATGGTAAGTTATGGGACCAGGACAGTTCAAGCTGGTAAGGTCATTCACAGGTGAGACTGTAAGTAGGACAAATGATGTCATGCTGGTCCTAAGTCTTGTAATTTTCCATACAACACCCTTAAGTATAATGGATAGAGGGCAATGTGCACATTCTGGGGATGAGTGCACCATCCAAAGAGCCGTGTGCACTGGCCCTTTAAAAGGTCTCTGAGTGAGGGGCTTGGTGTGTGCATGCATGTGTGTCTGTGCGCGTGTGAGGGGGGAAGTGTACGTTTGTGGAAGAGACTGTATAGGAATGCATGAGGGCCTGTAAGGATTGTTAGAGACAGTGATTGAAGAGACTGAGAGAGGGTGACAGCTGGTGTGAGTGGGTCCTCTGCAGAATTTGGGTCCTATGCAAGGAGCAAAGATCCCTGGAGCAGTCGGAGACTACTCCTCAGCATGCAGCTATACTCAGTCAGAGGTGGGCTCCCTGGCATTTTCCCGTCAGGAGCTTAAGGGCTTTGGTAGCAGCCTCACCGAGTATTTGGTGAGTACCCTACCCATACCTTGGGAAGGGATACTGTTTTGGGCTATCCTTTCTGTCATATACCCTTATAAAAGACCAGTGATTGGTAATAGAGTAAGGTAAGCCCTGGCACTGAGCCTGAAGAGGCGGACAGAGCCACCGCCAACAGCGGTTATCCAATAAATACATCTCGTGATTGCTGTCTCTTTGTTCCAGTTAAAGGATTTATAGAATTTATACTTAGTGTTAATTGTTACTGGTGTTACTGTTGTCCTGTATATTAACAAAGTAGTGGCTGTTCTGTGTTTCTTTAATAAACAGTTTCATTTGTGTACCACAAGTCATCCTCTTAGTGATTTTTAATTAAACCGGTGACAGATATGGACAGGGCCAAGATCCACCTTACCTTTCAGCGAGAAATCTGAAGAGAAGCAGTTATTTAAGCCAGCTTCAAAAGTTGGTTTAAAAAAAGGTGTGATTTTTCCCCAACATAAGGATCTCCCTTCTACATCAGGGATGAGATGGCATACCAAAAATTCTGCAAGACCTACAAGGAATGTCAGGAAGACCCCATCCTGACACATTTTGGGTTTGCAGCTGTCGATACCAAAGAAAGAGTAGTCACAATTAAGATGTAGCAAACTATTGAAGAGGAGAAGGAGGAGGATATAAAATTTTGGCTATCGAGGCACTGTGAGAGAATGGAGAACGTGGACAATGTCCAAGACCCAGACAGAGTATAGACTGGGTATTGCTCTGGGTGGACTCAGTAGGGGCAGGCAGGGTATTACACCTGCTTCTGGGAATTACCTTAGGGCCCTATAGGCAGCCAAAATTATATTTGAGGTACAAAGGGGAGGGACGTTTTTCAATGGTCTGCCCATACGAGATTTGCACGGCATGTAGAGAGAAGAGTCATGGTGTGTGAGAGTGCAAAAAGGAATGGAAGTATAATTTGCACGGAAAATCAGGTCATGTGTTCCACACCTGACCAAGATCATTTGCAAACACAGTCAAAAGAAGGCAAGGTGGGGAGAGTATGGCAGGGGAAAGTGAGCAGGGAGGGCAGGGGGAGGGACTACAGGGGCACAGATGAGAGAAGAGGAATTAGATGAGACAAGGAAAAATAGGCCAGAGGTGGAGAAAAGATGTAGCTCACAAAGGAGAAAGTCAGGAGGGAGAGAAACGAGGACATGAGGAGAGAGGGAAATGGAGTTGAATGGAGAAGAAGAGAGGACAGAAGGAATAGGAGAAGGAAAAGGAAAACAGAAGGGGAAGGGAAGAAGAGGCGGGGTTGAATGGAGTAGAGAAGATGGAGAGAGGGAAAGGTTAAGACAGAAGTTGGGAGGGTGTAATAGGAGGACTGGGGAAAGGAACAACAGAGATAAGAAAGGTTAAGGAAAATGGTAGGGAGGAGGAGGAGGAAGAGGATGATGATATGGAGTGGTGTGGAGGATGCGTGAAGCAGAAACCAGAGTGGCAGGTGTCTGAGAGGAATTGGAGCTGCAGGAGGGAAAAAAAGGAGATAAATAGGCAACACGAGTCCCCCTATGACTCCAGCCCACTCCTAACCCTACAGCTTTTAGATTCATTGGGTCCTGTAGAAAGAGGCCAAAGCCCTGCTGGGGTATAGTTTTTAGAGGAAGGCAAAATCCAAGTTTCTTGGTGTGCAATGGACATGATAAAAGGAGAAGGCAGAGGAGGATAACACAAGAATAGAAGGAAGGATCGCTCTTGAGTTTGGAATTAAAAGCAGAGTCATGAGCAGACCTAGACCTCAGTGCATAGACTGGACTTAGAGGATGGTGAGCAATATCTTGGGATAAATAGTCTTATTATGCTAACACTGGTTATTGTAAGGAGTATTAGCAGCCATGCAAAATGGGTGTGGGTGGGCCAGTATTTAGACCAGATGGAGGCAGACGTGATATGCCTGCATGAATTTGGGACGCTGGGACAGAGAGAGTATAAAAGCCTCATAGGAAGATGGAAGCACGGTCCATCTGTGTGGCTGGGCAGTAATGAGAACAGAGCAGTAGGTGTTGGCAGCACTTATTAAAGATCCACAGTTGGACTAATAGGCTATCAGGAGATAATTGGGGGAAGAGCATTACAGGTGATCAGGGAGAAGGAAGGTTTAGCATACATTTATGCACTGGCAGAGCAGGAGGCATGCTGTGCCCTCTTGGAGGAACTGACAACCCTCCTACTGGGAGTACTGCCCCTAATATTGGTTGGAGATTAATTGCATACTGGAGGTAGGGAAGCAACACCTAAGGATTAGCTAGTCCTCATGGGTACTAGAAAGGACGGTATGGGAGTATAAACTACAGGCCACCCAAAAGGCAGTGCCTGGACTTGAGAGTAGGTTTATTAAAGTGAATGTGGTGGGCTACTTATAGTCCTGCATACACTTCACTTTTGGGTCTGTAAACTGGAAATTTCAAGAAGCAGAGAGACAGGTCTCTGTCAGACCACCTGCTACTGAGGAAGTGATGGGAGTGAGAGAGCAAGCAATGCCAGTCAGAGGGCAGTGGAAGTTAAATATGAGACTATTGGAAGACTAACAAGGTGCAAATATTATGGCAGCCACTATGGAGAATGGGGAGTAATTAAAGGAACATATGCTATACAAACTGAGTGAGATGGTGGGAAGATGTTAAGGAAAGAATATAAGCCTTTTTTCAGAATTTGGGGAAAAGGGCCTAGAAAAAGCAAAAAAGGTTTATGAGACTGCAGCATCTCCTATGACACATGGAGAAGTGATTCCCAGTAGCAGAGGAAATTAGGGACACAAACAACCTACTGAAGGAATGATTTAGAGAGAAAGGACAGGAAACATCTTCCTTGCAAAGGCCACCTAAGTGGAAGAAGAAGAAGAATGGTTCTCTTAGTTTGCCTAGAGGAAAGTGGGGGAAAAGTATAAGGGCAGTGTAGGTTGAGAGGGGAGTATGGCTAACAAAGACAGAAGAGATACTGAGCGTGGTGAAGGAATTTTACCAACATTTATACTTCAGCAGAGTTTTGCATCAGGGAGCCCTTGATTCCTTTTGGGCAGGGTGAGAGGCAAGCTTGAAGGAAAATGAGAGGCAGCAGCTGGAGAAGATGTCGGTATTGGAGGAACTATGGGAGGGAACCTGGACATTCAGAACAGGAAAGTCCCTAGGGAATGACAGGCTCCTGGCACAATTTTGCAAGACTTTATGGGAAAACTGGGGTTACAAGTCACAGTGGACCAAATCAAGGTATTAGGAGTGGAGATGGATATGTTACTAACAGGTGAAGTGGCCTTGGAGAAGGTGAAAGGGAAGGTGAGACAGAAACTGGGGAAATGGTATGACTGCAAGCTGTCGGTAGCAGAATGGGTAAATGTAAGTAAGAACGTGGTACTCCCAGTCATAGTGTATGTATGTGTGGTGTTCCCTCCATTGTGGACCACTGCATGTAGGATTCAATGGGAACTGATGGTATTCTTTTGGAAAACCAAAAGTGAAAGTCTTAGGAGAACAACACTATACAAGGAGAAAGTGAATAAAGGATGGGGCTTCCCAGATGTGTTTCTGTTTGTTTATGTGACATATGTCAGTGTAAGCTGCACAGAAGGGATAAAAGGGGGGTACCAAATGGGCTGTCTATGTCCCGCACTGTGCAGGGACATTATTGCATGAATATAATTCATGTAAAAGGTCACTGTCATGGGCCTGGACCACGATAATGCTGTTAATATAGAAGATTGTGAAATTTGTGTGTGGGTATGGGATGTAGACAATAGTTGCAACATAGTTGATGGACGATAAAAAAAAAAAAAAATCAAGGCCTAGGTTATGGAAAAGGAGTCCGTGTCCCCAGCAGGGCGACTTATAGGGGAAGAAGCATAGACAATTTGGAGGGGGGTGTTTGACAAAAGTTTACAGAAGCAGAACCAGGACTTTGGTTGGCTGCTAGCACATTGGGTTGTTCTCGTACGGGTGCTTCATTACACTTGGGGAATGCGTAGAACAGTGGAATGCCCCAGACAAACGTGCTGCAGGGCCAGAAGTATATGGCATATGATGTGGGAGTGTCAGTTCATCAGAACAGTCTGGGAAGGCAGAGAAACTCCTACAGCGGCTGGGTGCTAAGAGCCAACTCATGAAAGAAGTGGTTCTGTGCAAAGCGTGAGTGGGACCCAGAGGAAGAAGAGAGAAAGAGTAGGGAAGGCCACAGTAAGCTTCTGCATGGCATTGTGAAAGGCAAGAAACTTAGTAGTCTTGCAACTAGAACATTCTGTAGAAGAGACCTTGCATTTGGGCATGAGCAAACTGGGGTGGTGTTGTTGGTGGGACACAAGAGAACTAGGTAAGAAGCAAGTGACGGATTTATGGAAAAGAAGAACGGCAATGCCTAGTAGATCTGATAGGATGAAAACATGGGAAGCCTGAGAGGTGGGGAAGTGGTGGCCACAGATGTGGGATTGGCTAGAAAAAGGCACAATAGGGGCTAAAAGATGGGATAAAGGGTGACTGATAAAGTGTTAATAGACAAACCTAGAAAGTGACAAGGACTAATGCAGTATTAAGAAACAAAGATATCCAGGCCCCTGGATTAATGGGAATTTGAGGAAGGAGGGAATTCATTGGATAATGTAAAAATGTCCTATGGTTCTGTTGGTCTTATCTGTCAAATTTTAGAAGCTGATGGAAGCAGATTTTAAGTTTTGATGCTTTCATGATAAATAAGTTAAAATAAAAGGTTCCCCCATCAGTGTTCGCCCAGTGTGGGCCAGGTACTTTATGGGCATGCTCAGTGTAGGCTGCATTTACTCTATTTCATAATTGATGTCCATGATTGAGCCCATGCTGCTTGAAGCAGAAGTTTAATGTTAGACAATGTATGCAAAGGAGAAGGTTTGCTGATATGCAAATAAAAGGCATGGGGCTTTTTCACTTATGTGCAGGTTGGAGAAACACATTTCATCTTATATTTGAGTAAATAGGGTATTGTTACATTCAGGTACTTAGAGATATGTTCCTTTTTAATTAAAAAATACAGTTAATTCTTTTTAGTTCTAGGAAGTCCAAATTTTTTCAATATTGCCAAATTGAGCCCTTATGATTACAAAGTATAATTCACAAATATGAGATACTACTAGTCTGTATTAGCCTGTCCATCATTTATTTTTTCTCTTATATTTTTCATCCAAACCCTGACTTTCCTGGGGTCAAGGCTACATGTCTAACTCATCTGTATTTTTAGATGCCCAGTTTAAATTGGAGCCATCATATTGTCTTGTAAAGTCCTGCCAACCAAAGCATGTAGCCCTCAGACAAGGCTGTGCCTTCCATTGGCTTCAGGGAGTATAGTCTCTTTTGAAAATTAGTGACTGATAATGGACTCTATTAATGACTTTGTGGCTTTAATTAGTGTTTGGTCTTTTTGCTCCCAAATGCTTTCTGTAGCTGTGATCTACAAGCCCAAATCCTTCCATGTTTAAATTATTTCCCAACTGATTTTCAACATCAGTTACATTTTATCTTGCAATTTTGAAATCTTGAGACTATTTCTGCTATGATTTATGCAAGTGGTCATTCCAATCCAAGCTCACTCAATAGAAGTTCAATACTGGATATCAACATTTGGTATTGTTGTTATCCTCATGTAAATTATACTTGCATGTTACTAAAAGGCAGAACATTGCCTTTGAGTTTACCATTCAAACTTTCCCAGCAGTGGCTTGAATCCTAGAAGAGTAGGACTGGAAGGGACCTCAAGGTCATCCTGTCTAACTCCCTGCTTAAGGCAGGATCATCCCTGACAAAGCCATCCCACACAAGTATTCATCTAACTTGCTTCTAAAGCCTTTGAACGATGGAGATCCCACAGCCTTCCTAGGTAGTCTGTTCCAATGCTTAACCACCTTAATATTAGGAAGAACTCTCATTATTCAGCCTACATTTCCCTTGCTGCAATATGAGATAATTGCTTCTTGTCCTGTCTCTTGTGGCCACAGAGAATGGTTCATCTCCATCCTTTTTATAACAGCCCTCCAGGTATTTGAAGGCTGTTATCACATCCCCTGCAGCCTTCTCTTCTCCAAACTAAATCATTCCAGCTCTTTCAGTCCATCCTCAGAAGTCATGTTGCCCCAGCACCCTGGTTGAGAATCACTGGGTTGGTTCTTAGCTTCAGATATGGAACCTTGCTTTCAGAAAACTGAGCTTTCAAAGTACATGGTTTTACTTAGTTTTCATGGGAGTGAAGTCCTCCAAGGTCTCCAGCAGAGCCACAGAAGCCATTGCAAGCTGCAAAGTATGAATTAACACCCCAGGACACCTGCATAGAAGACTGATTTATATCAAAGCATGTAGAACTGTGTTACTTTAAAAAGAGAAGAACAACACTAACAGTAGCCAACTAGCATAAACAACACCTTGTGGAAGTGTGCATATTTCCACCCATTTTGTTTTTAAAGTGAAAAAATAATTCACTTCACTAGACTCTCTCTCAAAAAGGCCTCTTGAAAGCTGTCCCCCTTACATCCCCCCTCCCCGGCCTCCCAAGCTGAACATGGATATCATGTTTTCCAGTCTATTTTTCCTTTGCGACTTGCATCTGTAAGCAGGTCACTCACCCAGGTTCCTTATCAAGGCCAGTCAGCTCTGTGCTCAGTTTATTTTACACAGGCTAACCTTGTCCTCACTCAATGAAGCAAACAACAAAACAAGCATACAACAATCAAACCCCCAAATTTATCTTTCTTCAAACCTTGAGGTGGGGAGGGTCAGATTCTGTGCTTCTCTCACACTACCACTACCTCCCACCTCCCTTGAACTCTGCTCCTGGGGCTTTTAAGTCCTTGTGGCTCCATCCTCATTGCCTCATTTGTATAAAAGCAAACTCTATTGTATGACAAGTCCAAAAAAATTGGCCTGGCATGTCCTGACACCCAGAGTTGTTTTAACAAAACCAAAACAAAGCTGTCATATAACTAGTGATGAGCCAACATTTTTCAGCACTGCCCATCTGGCCAAAAAGGTTGAGCACTACTGGTTTAAGTGATTTAACTGCAGATATAACTATCTGGGCAGGCAAATTCATGTTCCACTAATGTTGGAGATTTTTAAAAACAATGCCAAATGGAGGCTGATTATTTCCCTAACAAATCTTTTCCCAGGTCTCTTAATTGCCCATAATTTTATTTGGATGAGGAATACTGCAAAAAATAGCTGAAGTGTCATTCACAAAACCAAAGCATTACATTTGATAATATGATTTATCTTCCTCTTATTTATCTTATGCCATATTTAAGAAGCAAATGAACTCTTATCAACTGTCTGTTTAAAATGTAAGGGTAAATGAGGTAGGATATTGGCAGTTGTAACAGGTTCTTGTTTATAAACATATGTATGCAAGCATTTTGACTTGGGAGACCTGCAAACCTTTAACGACACCACTAGTAATGCTAGTAATCAACCTTTTTAGGTTCAAGACACCCCTCAGAAAATGGCAGCTTACTTTTCACTTGTGTTTGACTATGGAAAAATGATACAAAAGTAAGTAAATTAGTCATTTGTCATTTACATGTAGTGATGAGTATATTCCAAAAATCACAAACAATAACTATCAAGATGTCCAGGTTGTAGCTGAATAAACACATTGCTTCTTATCTTTTGTTTATGCAGTTTCTTTCATTAATGTTAAAATCATACAGTAGGAAAAGTACAACTGCCTGCACCATATGAAATGTTTCACTCTATTCTTTTAAGTTGGTGACATTATGAATGAAAAAAATGTTTGTTACGCCCAGTCTTTTATTTCCCTCTAGGTGGCTTTAAACATTTAGGCAGCCTTATTATTTAACCATCAGTGAGTGTTGTAGAACTGAGTCCTTACCCACTTTCAAAGTTATTTTTTGCAACTGCCTATTCTTGCAGCCTTAAGCCTATAGTCACCGTCAAGTTAATGTTTTCCCAGTGGGCTATGGAATGTCTCGACTGCAAAAGCTGCAGAGAGTTCTCTTTTGACCAAGCTTCTTCAAATCAGCTTCATTTTCAATTCACCAGACAAGTCTTCAACTTACTCTTATTAGTATAGTCCAAAACCCACAAACAATAACTATCAGGATATCCATTTCTTAGTCCTTTAAGAGTTGTCTGAGAGTCTTGATGCTTTTTTAACTGGCCCCCCGTCTCATCTTGCATTGGGTTGTGGAATATCATGCAAATTGTCAACTAAAATTCAGTTTTGCATATTTAACAGAGCTCAGCTTTCAGTGCCTGCTGTGTGAATTTGGACAGGATGTTCATTGTGCTTAAATTCTTCATTTCTTCAATTTTAGGGTTTTTCTTTTTTTTACTAGCCCATCTTCCAATACCTGACACTCACTAAACCAGTGGTTTTCTACCTTTTTTCATTTGTAGACCCCTAAAAAATTTCAAATGGATGTGCAGAACCCTTTGAATCGTAAGTGTGGGTATTCACATACTTTTTGTTGAACACATTCAACTTTCACAGACCCTTTAGATATAGTCTGCAGACCCTCAGACAATTAACACAAGTCTTATCAGCAGGGCTTGGTTGAAATCATGGGCCCAGCTTGTGGCATGGTGGTTCCTTTAATTTTGGAGTCCCCCCATGTACCTCCTGGCACGGATTGGCAGAGAGATCCTGTCAGTCTCCCTGATCACTCCTGATGACCAAGAGGTGAAAACGATGGTTTAAAATATGCTGCTGTTTTTGCTTCCTGCCACTTGCTGCTGACTGGAAGGGAGGCAAAAGCCATGGCATATTTAAAACCACAGTTTTTGCCTCTAGCCATCGGGAGTGAGCAGCGACGCCAACGGGTTCCCTCCTGCCAATCAGCAGCAGAGGGGTGCACAGGAGATTAAAGGAGATTAAAGGTTTTTATTTTGTTGCCTTTTGCTCTTGCATATTACCATATCCACCAAGACAGAAAAAGATCTTTGGGGAAGTTAAGTTTCTTACTATCCCCTCTCAAATCCCATCCCCCCTACTGAAGGCGGAAATCCCAAACGTAGTGCCTCCCAGCACAATTTAGCTATGTTCATAACCACTGGCAATCAGCAGTTTAAAAAAAAAAATCTATTAAACTGTGTGAAGTACTCCCGAAAACAATAAGCCTTCCATTTTCTAAAACAAAATGGAAAGTTGGACCGGGCCACACCTGAGGAAGTAGCTGACGGGAACTCACAGTTTCCACTGGGAGGTCACAACCACTGGGTGTGAAATTGGAAGAGGTAAAATTATGGTGCAGGAACAGCAATCTTCCTGTATGTGTCATGTGTTTATATGGCTAAATGGAGGACTCAGGGAACATTAACTATTTGAACCAAGTCCTTGCAGAAAAGGAACCTCATGCTTCAGAGCTTGAGCAAATCCCTCTTGGGGGTTAGGAGGAGATTCCCTTGGGATTAACTTGGTCAACTGTGGGGTTATCTTCCTCTGCAGCTACTGTCGTGGAAAGGACAATGGACTAGATGGATCTCAACTCCTCCATTTCTAATGTGGAAAGGTATTCAACTTCAGGGCAGTGATTCTTCACATGCACAGCTGGTAAAAAGTTTTTTGTACAATATAAAAGCATCACTAGGAATAAAGAAGCCAGACTCTGCCCCCGCAATCCTGCCCCATTCAACCAAAAGGCTGTACCAATCCTTGAGAGAGTTATGCTTTTGGGAAGAAAAGTTTCATAAAAGTTTCAAATTGAAATCTCTTTGCAATGCATGGAATTTTGGAGAAGGAATATGGAAATAATCACTGACAAATTTTCAGTTTTATTAAAAAAAATTCTAGCAGCAAAACCTTTAACAATTAAAAAAAACAAAAACAAAAAAAAACAAACCAAAAACAAAACTCTCAAGAGAGACAATGTGACAAAGAGAGAGAGAGAGAGAGAGAGAGAGAGAAAGAGAGAGAGAGAGAGAGAGAGAATAAGAGAAATTAATTCCACGGATTCACTCAAGTTCCTTGTAGCGGGCAAACATGACTCTCCGGACAGCATCCCGATAAGTTTCATTGGAC